CAGCCCAACGTAAGTCCATCCCTTCGATAGCACAGACACCGTCCGTAGGGATGATGGAATAAACCAATGCCTGATATGGGAAAGTTATAGGTTACAGGAAATTGTATCATTGAACAACATAATGTAACTGATATTATAATAAGTGACAGATATTCCCAAGGATACTTATTAATTTGTCAACGCTCAGATTATGTACCCGTTAACTATGATTGTAAACAGTATCAATAAGTGAGGTAATTTACCTTCTCCTCCTCATCGATTTCTCGTGCATGGCTGGGACTAAGCATCATTTTCACAACGCCGGAAGATGTGGCTCTTTCAGCCAGATCCGCGGCATCGCAGCCGAGATTGGCCTCCTGTCCGGTGGATACATCGGCGGCGGTGTCACATTCATCTTCGTAGTCACTATCAGACTCACCGGATGGAGCTTGAACTACCTCGGTAAGCGTCGGCACTGCAGCCATCATTACAAGCTGGATGGCATAAAAAAATCCTTTTACGGCGATTGTCTTCTGCGAGAGTTCCAATTCATCTTTGGATTTGATGCTAGATACGAGCAAATCAAACCCAACTCTACCCCAAGGGTATGAAAGAAATGAATCAATGTCCCTTATGAGCTCGACATGCTCGGGGACAATCTTGGTAACATGCGAGGTAGGAACCAAAACAGAGGCAGTTACAGCGAGGCAGGCGCATTTGAATCTCTTCTCTTTGTCTGTAATTTTTCTTTTCTGTAACATGTGGATGACGGAATCAACAGTGCATGTCTTAAGCAACCCAAAGAGCTCAGGCCAGTACGGTTTCTGGGCCACAAGATTTTTAAGCTTCCTCGTCTGAGCAAATTTCCCACACTCGAGCCCTGTAACTAGAGCAAACTCTCTGAGAGAAAATCTCACTGGCCGACCAGCAAACAGAAACCATAATTCATGCTTCTTCTTCACACGCAAGAGACGAGCGAGCATGTAATAGCCAAAGCTCCCGGAAAATGAAGGCTTCTCCATCGTCTCTAGGAGCCGTCCAAGTTGGGAATCACGAAGCCTCTTTGCTTCATCTTCGTCGAGAGAATTCATAATAGCCTGTACCGATTTTGATTTTTGGTAAGAATTCACCCTCTCTCCGACGGGCTCTTGGCCGGCAGCAAAAATTCTCTCAGGCAATTGAATGTTAGGCATCCTTTAATATATTTCAGACGAAACCAATTAGTCATATATCAAAGCAAAAATTCATGTGCAAAATTGAGAACGGTGTAACGAAAACTTACTTACAGAAATCGGCGACTACAAACTGTAAAATTGGATGAAAATGGATTCCAGGGATGAACGGCGGCGAAAACAAGAGAAAGAAGCTTCTGGGTTCAGTCTAATTAATAAAATAACCTAATAAAAATATTGTTTACCAGTGTTCGACATTTGCTTTGATCGATGAGGCTTATTGTGTAATATTAATAAGATTTTTGAATTTCAAATTATTGTGTAATATATTACTGTTTCTCTCTGACGCCAAAATCTTATCAAGATCGGCGATGCTTGCTAATAAGTAGGGAGCATAGGGGTATAGTCGGGTTATTAAAATGCTAACAGTGTCGAAATAGTGCGATGTATATTCTTGCAAATATAGTACAGTATCATGGTCATCTAGTGCATTTTCTTCTTTTTATGTCCTTGTAATTTCCTCGCCATTTTCAAGCAAAATGATTGGAAATTTCTTAGCCCCAAACCCCAGAAAATTTCTGACCAATAAAACTCATAATCTTCTCAACTGATCCTTTCTCCTTCTCCACTTCTCCACCACCACAATTTCCATCACCAACCGAGTCACCACCAACTAACTCGTCCAAACTCGAATCTAACTCACTGAGTCTACTCGGTACGACCGAGTTAACTCGAACGCAAGATTTTCCCGATCGTTTTCTCCGATCTTTTCTCTTCTTCTTCATCTCCAAGCTGTCTTCGAAAGCATCGATGATCTCGTGAATGAGTTGGCGATTCGGTGACGAGTCCCATCTAACCCAGTAACTCGTGTAGCAGCTAAAACAATCGCAGAGGAAAAGTGGAGAGTGATGATGATCATCTTCGTTGGCTTTGTTTTTCTTGAGCCGAGAGATACGATTCGGGTCACCGGAGTTTGAGATGAGGTAAGCAAGAACTTCACGGTCCTCCGCCGAGAGCGCCGCCACGAGAGAGAGGATGGCGACGGGGAGGAGAGAGAGAAATTGGTCGTCCGATTTAGTCGCCGGCGACGGATGAACGGTTCCTTTCCGACCGAGTTTCTTCATAGAGAGCGAGAGATAGAGAGAGAGAGAACAAAGAGTCTTCTTGAAGAATGAGTCTTATGGGACTTTGAATTTTGAAAGGGCTTTTCTTTATTTTTGACTTATTTTGAAAGGTCTTTTTGTTTTTGTCGTCTAATTTTGAATTGTCTAAGACGTACATTATATTTCCTGTCTTTTTTTTTGTCAAAACTTTATGTTTCTTGTTTACTTATTTTAATATTACATTCTCCTAAATTATTTTAAAATTTGACATTGAAGGATATAAAAACAGTATATTTATCATGTGCTACTATAACCAAATTCCGCATGAAAATCAAAACTTTTCTTTTTCTTTTTATTTTTATCAAATTTTGATATGTTATTGGCTCATTTCCGTTTGATCTCATGTAATTACTTTCCTCAATAATGTAGAGTTCTTAACCAAAAAAAATGATGATAATAATGTAGAGTGACACACAATATGTTTGTATCAGTAGATAATTAAATACTCCATATTTTTTGGAATAAAAAAGTATTTAATTGTTGAGGTTTAGAAAATGTTTATCTTATGAATAATGTTTTTGAATTGATTAGGTCTGTTTATCTTATGGATTTATGTAAACTCCCAATGTTATAGAAATACTTTATAAGCATTTTTTTTTGTAATTTGTAATTTGTTAATCAAAACACTTTTGCGGCCTTTGTCACTCTTGTAACTTGTAAGATTGTTTATTTCTAGTGTCACTGGGCCAAGATCGGTATATGAACGGGCCTCCAAAAGTTTGTACTCATTTCGCATCCAAAATAAATCTGATTTTGTCGGTTTACTTAAACCGGTCCGAAATGCCAACTCTCCAATATCGTCGTTTTGATATTGTCATTTAATAGTAACCGAACAAAAGGAAAGCTATACCACACTTCTTCAGGTTACTACCGTGACGAAGCAGCTTATAAATAACCCGTCAGCAAAACAAAATACATATTAATTCGCTTAACTAAATTCCCAAAAATCATCAAATATGTACAAACACAACACGAAATTAGCTTACATTAGCTCAAAATTCATAAAGTATTATATTTTTTTTTTTGGTAAAATGTTAAAATTTATACCATTTTCTGATTTTTTTATACTTACAACTTATATGGGTCTACCTTTACAAAAGAAAAAGGCAGGACCCGAGAGAAAGAAAAAAATACAATACTAGAACAGTTAAGGAGGATAACTAATATTCAAAAAGTTTCATACTTATTTTATTCTATAATCTACATTACACGTCAACTCCACTGGCGTTAAAAGCAACCGTAAGCTGACTAACCATAACCTTAAGACCTTTTGCTTCCCAAAACTCTTCCTTGCAACCTTTAAACGGCGTCGTATCCACGCTACTACTAGTATTGTTAACCATTTCGTGATTAATCGTCCAAGTTCGTTTATAGGAACCAAACCACTTAGCTTGCATGTAACCGTTTCTCCTCCACGGTGGCACGTGTATCCCCACGTGCTTCATCGACTGTCTCATCTCGTGGCACATGATCCTCACGAGATGTTTTAGCTCCTCCGGAGTTCCCACGAAGACACGTGGCACTTGGCTTAGTATCGAGATGTACCTTTTCGTTGGTCGGGCTATCTCAAACTCTCCGGCCAGGTTTGTCTCGACGATGTAACGATTACGGTCTCCTCCGTCGCATATAACGTCGACGTACTCGTATTTTCCGGCGGTGTTCTTGCCGAATCTCTCCCACCGTGACTTGCAAAGACCTATATATACGGTGAATATTGCGAATTATTTATCTCGAAATTTTGGTTCTGTTTGATATTATTAACAAGCAATGGCAAGAATCACAGATAAAACATTAAAAAAAAAAATTAATATCGATAATTTAGTTGGTGTACTAAGTTATAATTGAAGTCAAAACTTCTTGATATAAAAAAATGATAATTGAAAGTACAGAATCATAAACGCGATGAAAAACAAAATGAGTTAACTAATTCATTTTTGTTTTCATAAATTTAGTTTCTAAAAGTTCTTGAAAACTTCGGTAATCGTTAAGTAAAAAACATTCTTGAAAACTTAGCTTCTACATGATGATTGATAATACCAACAGTTAATTAGTACTTGTGAAGTCGTGGATGAAAAGGAAAAAGAAGGAAAAAAGAAGTGAAATATAGAACCACGATCGATGATAAAACTTGATTGATTTTTGTCGACTAAAACTTGTAAAAATCACAAGTCTCGTTAAACCTAAATCAGAATTCTACACACACAAAAAAAAGAAAAGAATTCTACGTTGTGAAATTTGTAAAATTTTTACACATGTTAATTAACTATAAGTCTATAAACCCCCCCCCCCCCCCCTTGATTTTTTCATAGACAGGTAAAATCCTCTCCAATAATCCCCCTATAAGTTCAATACATAAAAATGTAAATTCCAATATGTTATGTATATAAGTGGATAATTTCTATCATATATGTAAGGCGATAGATATATTTTTACTGCATCAAAGCCCTTGTTACGTAGCAAAAGCCATCTATCGACGCTTAGGAGCACAATCTTGAAGTATATCTCCGACGAACTTTCCAACGACTTGCGCCGCAGCCAATATTCTCAACCGCTCTTCGCCGCCGGATAAACCTTCTAGAAGCTTCTGTAACCTCTCCTTCACATCATCGTACCCGTTGTCCGAAGAATCCATTTCTTCCTCCTGATCATCATTCTTCACCGGTAATATTACTTGTCCCTCTTGTTCAATAAAAGATGCGACCAAATCCGAAAGATCCGCCGTGTCCTCCGGCGAATGATCGCTCCCGCTGCTGTTATCACACGGTGGTCGTGCACGCGCCGCCGCTACGTTAAAAGCCGACTCAATTCTATTGAATCTCCCTCGAAACTCCACCATCTTATTATTCTTTTTGTCGTCTTGTATTCTATATGATAAGTCTGTTTGACGAGATACTATGATTCGGAGAATTTATCAACGTATATTTATACATAGAGATTTATTAGAGAGAACTAAACGGAGTAAACGACAAAATGTTAAAAGATGACAACAGAGTGGTGAAACTATGTTGAAAAGTATGAAAAAGACAAATAGTAGTATACTTCATTTTAACTCAATTAGGTGAGAAGAATTAACGCCGTTTATGTAACTTGTAATCAACTCTCGGTTTTATTATAACACTATAGTGTCTACATTCATTTTGGATCAAAATAAAATCTCTAATTGTTCAAGTCTTTATTCCGAATAAAAATCTAACGCGTGAATGTGAATCATAAGCTGAATAAAATTTTCAGATTTATTTATATCTATAAGAAAGTTAGTTTACATACATACGACAAAAAGAGGCTATTTTGTTTTACTAACGTCCACGTCATATTATTTATGTATCGGCTATCAACTGATGACGTGTGCTAAGACTGGCGTGTTTAGTCTAAGGTGCCGGCGCGTGCCAGACAACAAGTGAGTCAAGGTTAACATGTGATTGTCACGTGACAAGATGTGCTTATCGTTTCTTCCTTGTGAAGATTTTGTTTTGTTTTTTTTGATAACATTGAATATTATTTTAAAAAATGCCTTCGACCATTAAAATTTTAAAAATATAATATAAAATATTACTCCCTCTGTTCTAGAATAGATGATATTTTAGAAATTTCATTCTTATTAAGAAACAATAAATATGTATTATTTTTAGTTATTTTTTTGTCTTTTCACTTTCTAAATTTTTTTTTCACACACCTATTAAATGCTCTATAATAATTATGAATGAACTTTAGCTCCATCACTTGATACTATTGGTTTGTTTACATATAAACATTTATTATTTTAAAATAATTAAATAAAATATGCTATTAAATCATTCTTGTAAAATGTAATAGCATTAAATACTTTCAAAACATCATCTATTTTGGAACAAAGAAAAATTTTAAAACATCATCTATTCTGGAATAGAGGGAGTAGTAACTACATTAATTAAACCGAAAAAATGTATTGGTTATTCTCTCTGTTTTGGAAGGACGTTTGCCGGTTTATTAAGTTTTTTCTTTAATACTCATTCGAATTGAATCTTCAAAACGGTTTATTAGGTGTCTTGCGACGCGGAAATTAGAAGCAGGCGTTAAACCAAAAGAAAGTCTAGATACATGTGTTAAGAAAGTGTCTAAGTTCAAGGTATCTCATATTTCGTTTGCACACCGCGTCTCTCTTTTGGACTTTTGGTTAAAGCTGGAGTATCTGTTTTTCCCTTTTAAGCTGGTCTTGAAAATAGTTGTTGAAAATATTAATAGCAATAGCATCACTTTTTTCAAAGACGTGAAATACATGAGACTTTTTTAACAAAACTGTTATACAGTTGTGGGATAAGTAGTGGAATGGTAGATTTGGGATCAAAATCCTAAGAGCTCTGTTCGAATCGTCGTCTTTGTGATCAAATTCGGATATCGATTACCAATAAATAATCTAAAATTTGTTCGTTAAAGTTTCATCTACGTAGGAAAATAATTTAAAATTCAGTCAAATATTAAAAATTTGATCATTAAAATTTTCATCGTAGATCCGAAAATAATATAAAATTCAGTCAAAATATTTATTTATATTAAAAATTTAATCGTGAAAATTTTCATCTACGTAGATTCAAAAATAATACTCCCTCTGTTCAGAATTATTTGATGTTTAAGGTTTTTACATACAGATTAAGAATGCATTTAATTTTTATTTTTTCTATACTAAAAATATCATTTATAATTCATTTAATTATCATTCAGCCAATAAGAAGACAATCTGCAGAATATAAATGGTCAAAAACAATAAAAGTTCATTAAATTTTACATTGAAAAGTGAAAACATCAAATAATTCTGAAAAAAAAAACCTCCTAAAACATCAAATATTTCTGAACAGAGGGAGTATAAAAGTCAGTCAATATTTATACCGTATAAAAAAGGGACTAACAAAAAAAATATACAAAAAGGCTGTATAGTAAAGTTTTAAAGCTAATAATGTATACGTTTTGGACCTGATTAACGATTTGAGCCATAATTTAAAGCCCAGACCTCCTTCCCAATACGTCACCGTTTTGATCCATTCAATTTTTTGCGGGAAAAGTCCACACACACATCGAATCATGGAACAAAAAAAGAGAAAAAATCCGTTTAAAAATAACCATATACAAACAAATACAAATGAACCACCAATGCTACTAGATAAATAGATAGTAGATACAACTTATAGCTTCAAACCTATTGAATCAAATTGGGAAGACTTAAAAACTTCTAATTTTCGACAACCTTCAAGAGGATTTACAATGCCAGAAAACAATTCTTATCCAATTTCAAATTTATTGTCTCTAGTACTGATATAGAAGGATAAAAGGATATTCCAGAGTTATAAAAACCTGTTCTTGGAGAACCTGAAGAAATGTTTTTGGCAGTGGAAACTATGAGTAACCGATCATTTTTGCCTTGTCTTGAAGCATTTGCCCTAATTTCATGAAGAGAGCTTGTTGTTCCTCGAAGGTAAGGTTCGTCAATATCTATCATGAAACATTACATGATTGATTGATTTAGTCGCAATGCGGTTTTTGATAGATAACAAAGTCGAGATGTATATAGAGGAAGTTCATTTACCTGGTCCAGGATTTTGTCAACCGAAACGCTTTGGGAGACTATAAATGACTGGAGATATATGTAAGCAAATACTGCCATTACCATCTGTGACAATAGAAACAAAGTTATGTTATGTATGATTAGAGATGGGAGTAAGAAACGAAGCATATGTAACAACTGAAGTCTAAATAGTAGGAGGTTGAATCAAAGTTGAATTGGTTTTTTGTGGGAGTATGGGAGAGTTTAAGGACTCTAACTATCTCTTGGTTCTCGAGATCCGCTAGTCCTTGGTTCATCAGTTTATTGTTCTTTATCGACACTTTTACAGATAAAACAATAAAGGATATCTGCAATTCTCTTCTGTGTCGTTCTTAACAAACTCAATTCTACTATTAAAAGACATAATTAACAAATTATGAAGAGATACTAGTTTCATTAGAGTTACCTGGCAGTCCATTCTATCCGTGATTCCACCATGTCCTGGAATACTATCACCAAAGTCCTGCGATTGCAGTTTTTATTAGAGGTAAAATCATAAATGTGTACCGTGAAGCTCAGGTCAAAAATTAGATGGTGTTGATTACAGACCTTGATTTTGAATGCTCTTTTAAACCCGCTAGCGAAAAACCCTCCGAAAGGTGCTATGATTGATGCGAACAAACCGAGGCATAAAGCATGCCACTGAACAGGGAGGACCTCCATTTCCTTCCAAGGAAACTGCAAACGTGTAGTAAGAAGTTGAGAAAGCTCTTGCAAAATTTTCATATAACGGAAAACCTACAGCTCAGTTTAAATACTAATATTTTTTTTGTTAGTTATCAGTAGCTAACTACCATAAAAGTGGCCATAATCTGAACTCTACAAGAACACGCTCTGAAATCAGTTATATACACCACCCATAAGTTTCTTTTAAGCACATGATACCAAAGCTTACCCATTCTGGAATCCACGCAGGCAAAGTAAAAGGTTCAGGTTTGAACATTGGATCAGCATCACAGTGTAGCCAGCCAGTGGACAAATCCTGCAGAATGATTCACAGATTTACTACAAGCTCCCTAAAAGATCGTATTCAAGACCAGTGCCTTTTTTTTCTTAAAAATGACTAACCTGTCGAGGACATGTCAACCATGGGAAACGACCCAAAATATTTGCAAGCTGAAACATTGCGGATACAGAACATTTTCAGGCAGAAGATCGGTGAAGATACAATGAAATGATGTAGGCATTATAATGTGTTAAATGGTGCCGGTAGGTAACAAATACTCACAACAAATGCGGCGATGATAGTTGTCACAGAGGCTCCGATAAATCCCTCCCATGTTTTCTTTGGAGACAGCTTTATTAAGGGCGTTCTTCCAAAGAAGAAACCGAAAATGTAAGCAAAGATGTCGTTGATTATAATTAACGATGCTGGAAGAAGGAACCTGCAATTCAAGCCGCCGAAAGAACAAAACATATCTGATCAATCAAGAAGACAATTAAACTTCAAAACAAAAGTAAAACAGATTGGGGCCAAAATGTGCAAGTTTAGGAAGCAAGGTGGTCGAGGTTTTAAAAGCATAGCCTCATCATATTGGCCAATAAATGGGAGAAGAGTGTTTTATATCAATAATAGACGGAAACACTTAAAATTTCATATGCTGAAATTCTTAAAAATGTACCAGAAGATTCCTTCGAATATGTTGGCAACAGTGAAGGAGGACTGAGTAAACACGACTATCAAAATCATGTGAGTCCATGCATATTGGCCAAACTGGTACTTGTACATCTTCTTTTTTAATGTCAGAATGAACCACATGAAACCTGCAATTTATTACATTAAAGCAGACTCCTTAAGCATCCATGTAAGGTAAATCACATATGCCATGCATCATACATTAACGCCGATGATGATAAACCAAATTCCACAAAGACGACAATATGGTAAGCAAGGCTAACCTATAATATACAAGAAGTAGCAGATAGCCATATGGTATTTGATCAGGCCGCTGACTAGCCGGTATAGGAACTGGTCTTTAGTCACAGTATTGGCTAACCGTTGACTAAGGATCCGGCCATATACGAAAAGCATGGCAGTGAAAAAGAAGTGCCTGCAGAAGAAAAAAAACGAACAAGACGACATGGATCATTTTATGTTGCCTGAGCCAGTACTTTATTAACTAAGAAGATAACTGGACGACAAAGAGAAGCTGACTTTACCAATTCAACTGTTTAATCCCAGGGAGACATTTATCCTCGGGAGCTTTCCTCAGCAGATTAAACAGCTCTTTAGCCATAAATATTTGGATAACAAGCACCATGGCAGTGATATAAAGATGTCCCATGTATACAACCATA